CCTTCAATCTGAGTCAGTTCCTCAGTTTCTCCTGACTTTCAAGACCTTGACTTTTATTATGAAGATTAACAGGCCAGTCTTCCTATAGAATGTCCCACCATTTTGATGTATCCAATGTCTTCTTATGATTAAACTCAGGTTCTGATAGAAATATTACAGAAGTGATGCTGTATTCTGCTCATTGCATCCTATCATTTGGCACATGAGGCCAATATGTCTCATTACTTGCAGTGATAACTTTAAGTGGTGTCAGCTAGATTTCTTCACTTTTGCACATTTTAGATTTTTTTTCCCTTGGTACTTAATAAATAGTTTGTAGAGAGATATTTTGAGATTATGTAAAAAGAAACATCCATTTATATTTCTTGCCTTAATTCATTATTTCTGCACTGGTTGCTAGATAATATTTTTCAAATTCCATGATTACTTCTACTTTGAATAGCTGGCATTCTATTCTAAGAAAGAGTTACATTCTCATTTTTAATTATAATTGTTTAAATTATCCCAGTGTTGTATTACATTGCTTTTACATATTTTTATACACTAGTTGTCCTAGAATTGGCCAGTAGAATTCACTTTCAAGCTGGCTTCTATATACTTTTGTAATGCCTTATTTTTCTATGCTGACTTTCTTACTTTCTGATACAACAGATGCTTCAAACTCATATTGTTTCTTCCTTTCCCAGTCCTAAAATCACCTGTTTCTCTAAGTTAGGCTTGTTCCTTTTAGTGAAGAGTGATATTTTTAAAGCAACATCAGGCCCAGGATGAGTAACTCAGTTGATCAGATCATTGTCCTGATATATCAAAGTTGTGGGTTCAATGCTTGGCTTCCACTGATGTAACATTTAATACCAGTGATCATAAGTGATCCCAAAGTCATTATTGATATGTATATTTTCATATGAAGAAGGTGTGTGGAGATGTCATGTAGCTAAAGATTTAGTTTAGCAGACCATGCAGGTATTTATTTCAATACAGCATATTTTTACATGTAATGACCCTCATGAACTGATAAATTAATTTATTTGTGAAAATTAATCTCTGAAATAAGAGATAAAATACTGGAGATGTTGAATAGTCACTAACATGGTGAAAATACATATAGAAGGAAAAAAGGATTCACCAGGGGAAATATAGAATGCAGAGAAATCTGAGGGAGTGCAAATAATACTTAAAAATTTATGAAGATTTTGAAGTTTAGAGCAGTTCTTATGTCTCAACCATTAATTTTTTTTATAGCTTTGATACTTGAAAGTGAACAGTTTAGAAAGAGAGGAGAATATTTTCTTTCCACAGGACTAGGCTAGGTAAGTAAGCAGACTTGGAAGGTCTAAGATGTTAGTAGGAAAATTAAAGTAGTTATCAATCTACTTTCTGTCCCATGCCCAAAAAGATTCATTTTAAAAGTATTTGTGGTTGTAACACTGTCTGAAACAAAATGAAATTATGCAGGATTATTTTCCAAATGTTTTGAAGATAAATAAGTCTTTTAAAGCACTGGATCTCAAAGTGTGATCTCTGTACCCATAGCATGTCATCATATGGGATCTTATTAGAAATATTCTCAAGCATCACCTCCAAAGTACTTAATCAGAAATTCTTGGAGAATTCCCGCCAATCTACAAGACACCAATATGGTGATTACCAAGGGGGGAAGGGAGTTGAGGAGAGGTAGGATGGTATAAATGGGGGATAAATGGTGATGGATGGAGACTTGACTTGAAATAGTGAACACACACTACAATATACAGACAATGTATGATAAAATTATACACCTGAAACCTATATAATTTTATTAACCAATGTTTACCCAATAAATTCAATTTAAAAAGACCCATTGGGAAAAAGGTAACATTTTCTCCTCAAACATCCTTAATAAATGTAGCTAAGAACTTAGAAGCTATGATGGTCTAAGAAGTCTTTACAATCCTATATACGTAAAGCTAAAGGCTGGATGCTAAGAAAAAGGACAAATATAAAAGCTGAGAGAGCCTACCATAAGGGTTTCAGACAAGGGTAACAGCTGTTAGACAGTGGGAAGCACCCCCAGGGGTCAAAGTGAGCCTTAAAAGAGATACTGTAGCAGCAGCAGCAACAGCATCATAGTTGTTTCTTTTCCATCATCATCATCACCATCTATTGGCTGAGAACATATGCGCTCCAGACACTCAGTTAGGAATTACAGAGATCATTCAATTTAATCCTTACAATAAATTCAGAGGATCTAAAATTTTAACTTTAGCTGTATTTAACATCTGAGAAAATTTAGCCTTAGAGAAATTGATTTAAGTAGCAAGAAGGACAGTTGCTATTTTTTAAAATTGATTTATTTAAGTAGCAAGAAGGAAAGTTGAGATTCAAACTAGGCAGCATGAATGAAAAGCCTATTTTTAAACTGCTATTATGATATTTCATAGCATCAGTGTATTCTCAAAGGGTTGGCAGAGAAAATGAATAAAGTAGCCTATATAATAAAAAGTTAATATGCAAATCAGCCAAACAGCAGAACAACTGGTTGCTATGACATGCATTGACGACCAGGGGACAGACTCTCAATTCAGGAGCTGCCCTCTGATGGTCAGTGTGTTCCCACAGTGTGAGTGTCGCTCAGCCAGAAGCCAGGCTCACAGATGGTGAGTGCAGTGGCTGTGGAGGGATCCTCTCCTGCCTCTGTATCAGCCCTAAATTTGTTCGACTGTGGGAAGCAGGCTTAAGCTGTCAGCTGGACATCCCTTGAAGGCTCCCAGGCTGCGAGGGGGCTCAGGCTGAGCTGAAGGACCCCACCTAGTCCATGAATTTTATGTACCAAGCCTCTAGTTTACTTAATAATCAGTTAAGTTGAATTTGCAGAAACCTTGGAAGTTGAGCAAGTTTGAAAAACTAGAGAAAAACATATTCTGAAGGAGGGGGCTGTGGGATTAGAGGAAAGACAGGCCAGTCAGACATAGAAGCAGAATATTTGAAGTGGTAGAAACATGTTCATCAAACTCTGACTGAGTTATGTCACTTAGTATGATAAAATTTTTCACTCTAGTAGAAAGTGCTTTCAGCCTAGCTGGTTTTGCTCAGTGAATAGAGCATTGGCCTGTGGACTGAAGGGTCCCAGATTCAAATTTGGTCAAGAGCACATGCTTGGTTGCAGGCTCAATCTCTGGGGGAGGGAGGCATGCAGGAGTCACCTGATCAATGATTCTCTCTCATCATTGATGTTTATATCTCTCTCTCCTTCTCTCTTCCTCTCTGAAATAAATTTTAAAAATATATATTTAGTAGAAAGTGCTTCAGATTTGATTCTAGGTTGGTTTGACTCCAAACTATCCCCTGAATTCTCTGTGTGATCTTGAACAAGTAACCTACATTTAATGAACTTCTGTTTCCTTATTTAGAAACCAAGAATTAGATTGTCCAATTTCATTTAGTATAACACAATACAAAATTTCTAGGGTGGCCTTTAGTGGCTTTCAAATGACATTAAGTGTACAGATATTCATACCTGAAAAGGTATGGATATTGATTGTATAACAATCCTACAATATAATTAAGAGCAAGTTGTTAGATAAAATCAGTTCTAAAGGACCTTAAATAAACTAGATACCTTTCCTTTCTCTGCTATTCAATGTGGTAGAACTTCGGTTTTGAGGTGCACATGTGCATGTGTGCATGCGTGTGTGTGTGTGTGCATGTGTCAGAGAGAGAGTTTGTGTTTATGAGGGAAATGGTAAATTTACATATTTACAATTCTCTAGTTATATTTAAAAATTTTAAATGGGCTGCCTGAGATCCAAGCCCTGGTGCCTCTTATTATTGTACCTTAAATATTTTCTATTAAACTAAATGGAAAGCATTCTATGCTTTGATTGTGAAAGGAACTTTGCAAGTCAGTAAGCATGCCTTTTAAAAGCAATAAAATGAAGCTGTCAGCCATTGCAAATGGACCAAGATGGAGGTCACATGACTAAACCACCCTGCACCAGGCAGCTCTGATGTATTTTACTCCAGTTTCAACCTATTAATCAGAATAGTTGGAAGAGCAATAATTTAAATGCTGCAGTAATCAATTCCATACACATTAATAGAAGCTACAGTCAAACTTTCCCACACCACTGACTGCATTGGAATCTTGACAGGAGCCCTGAGGGCCATGCCTAATTTGCATTAAATTTACATAAAATTGTAAATCAAGAATACATGAACACAGCCCTAATATTTGTTAGTGCTTAGATCTTGTTAGATAGATTGAAATTGCTGGTGGTTTGACTTGGCTTGCAATAAAATCTTGCAGCTGATCAGCTTTGTTCTCATTCTGCAATTATGGGGAACAGGACCCTGGAGAGCTATAATTGGGAGCATGTATTTGCCATTTAGGGTTTTTGTCCTATAAAACCATGACTCAGATGTGTCCTTGGAAACCCCAATTGAGAAGCAGATTTTCCCCAATGACTTTGCAGATCCTTGCCACTGGATTTGCTCACAAACAACTTGCCATTAGGTGGAGACACAAACTACATAGAAAGCTGGCCAGTGGAGAAGATGTCAAGGCCTCTGGAAACCTTTATTTTTCCAAACAACATTTACTATCATAAAAACAGATAGGGATATTATCTAGGCTGGAGACAAGTAAAAATCACACCTTCAGCAAAGTGCGCAGTACTTAACAGTGTGAAAAAGTGGACTTCACAGGATTCGAAGCATGTGTGTGTTCTTGTGTTTCTGTTTCATCTTATTCCAATGGCTTTAGCCTTTGCTGTGTATTTTCACACTCAGGGCAAGGAGAAAAGATTCTTACCAAGGGTATTGGCTCACAGTGGCAAGACTCAACTCTATATTCTCCTTAGTCTTCTCATTATAAGTCTATACTTTCAGAGAAAAAACACTTAAGTGCCAAAATACATTTAGAAGTTTTTATTTTTAATTTTTAGAAAGTATTATGCAAGTTTGTTGTACATCTTGATTATTCAGTGCCCTCCCCCACCTCATCTATCCTATCATTTTCTTACCTTGCACGATCAAGTAAACTTGGGAGGTCTTGGGCTCATGCTGTGTCTGAACTGAGCAAGTGTAGGAACCCTCATCATAGACATCCACCTTCTGGATCCGAAGGCTGTACTCCAGAGAATGGCGCTTCTCCAGCTCCACCCGGGGGTCCAGAGACCACTTGTCATGCCCAGCAAAAATGATGCCAGAACGGTTCAGCCAGGCCACCTTTGAGTTCTTGTCTTCTACAATGCACCTGACAGAGCAGAATAACAACATTAGAGCCTTAGCCATGCCTGCATCTGCATTCATTATTCACATGATTAGACTCAACAAGACCAGTCAAGAAAAACATTTAATGCAGGATGAACCATTGCTTTGTTCTTTCTTAGAGTCTTAAATATCATCACCAGTTCTCCTTTAAGACCTAATTACCATTCAATAGATAGATATCATTATATTAGATTCAATTCAGCAATAAACAATCTGAGTATGAGTAATGCAGGCAAAGTTAATGGGTATTGATTTCCCACTGGATTATCTTCTTGTCTAGGAAAAGGTCATTCACACAGAACTCCATCTGTTTAAGTAATTTTGAGAATCAGATGATTGATAATGTGGCACATTTACCCAGTTTAAAATTGTACTTATTCTTTCATTGCTATTTTCTTGTGTGATAGTAATTTGAGTTATGCCCCACCACTCTAGAAATTAGACTAGATTTCGGAGTTTGCATCTGATCTGTATGAGTTTGGAATGCCTACTCTCAGGAGTGAGGCATGTGTGAGCAAGCCCAATTAGGTAGATAGGTATTGTGTCAAGGTCATCAGAGTTAGCTAGCATCATCTTGCCTAAGTGTGGTTCCAGCTGCTGAGGGCAGCAGAGTGTCTGCTGGCAAGACAGCTTGCTACCAGCATTTCTGAGTCCATTAGTATGAATTCAATCTTTTGTGTGGAGATGAAGAAACCAGTTTTATAGTTTCTGTTCCAAGAATGATGAAGGAAAAATGCTTATTTAAATTATTATTTTAGAAACCTAAAAGTCTCTCCCTGAAACTTAAAAGAAAGGCCAAAGACCACGGATCGCTGAAAAAGGGGAAAATACTTTACATGATACAGTTTTCTTCAATTCTATCAAGAACCTGAAAATGAAAAAAATAATAATAAAAAGTTCTCTGTTTCACTTTGGCAAGATTTATATGTACCCCACAGGAAGATTGTCCTAGACCCTCTTACAGCTGCAAAGCCAGCTGCTCAGCACTGTGGGGCATGAGGGATGGACAGAAGGAGCCAGGAATATGACAGCAAAACAATCAAAACACCATATTCCCTTATATTTTCCAAACTAAGTCAAATCCAGGTTTCCTCTCAGGTCAAAAGACCCAGACACAGAGATTCCATGCCTATGCATAAACAGGAAATTGGTGTCCTACCCACAGGCTATCCACAGTAGGGATACAGAGGCTGATTTGTATCTTTCATAAGGAGAAAGGCTGAGTCTTTTAAAAATTCCTATTGTGCAGAAGATTTCCTTACCCCATTAATTTTGGTTGAATTATGTATTTTATTTAGCATGATTATCTTATTTAATTAGTTGGGTGCCTTGATATGCAGGCCTTTCTTTTCTTCTCAACCTATTTATTTCCCCCAAACACAGGCAAATGAAGGTGTCATTTAGTATCTCCATTTCTCAACATGTGTTTCTCTGCCATACAGATATTACTGGGATTAATTAGGTACATTTGATAATTAATACTTCTCCAAGAGGGAGTGCAGAACTAACTTCATAGATACTTGCTGCTTCTTTCCAGACTCGATTTTACTTTTTCTCTTCTTTCCTTTTATTGCATCATTTCTCTGTTCTTGATGATGTCTATGGCACGTCTCAACTTATTATAGAATTATATTTTAATTAATTAATAGGCTGTTTGCTATCTTCTAGATTATAAATGAAGTTGTTCATGTAGATTTACTGTGTTTTTACTTTCTACTGAGAAGAATGAAAATGTACTTCTAGAAATGTGTTTTAAATATTCTATCTCATTTCTCCTACTTTTATCATCTACACAGCTCACTACAGTAGCAACCAGATATCATAGAGATGAACTTTGAATGCTGTTTAGCCTAGCACATGGGTCCTAATATGTTCCTTTTGAGGGAAAAAGATACCATATAATGCATTATGCACAATAATGGCCCATTGTCCAATGAAGACTGAGATTTTGCCTAATTTATTAAGTTATCTCCCAAAACTAATCTGGTGTAAAACAGTAAAATTTGGCAAATGCCTATCATATAAATTAATAGTATCACAATGTAGATACAAGACATATGGTTACATACATGGTGGGGCAAAAATAGGTTTACCATTGTGAGTAACAGAAACACAGAGTTTATTCTTACATTATTCCTTACTAGAGGCCTAGTGCACAAAATTTGTGCACTGAGGGTGCGGGGAGTAGTGTCCCTCAGCCCAGCCTGCAACCTCTCCAATTTGGGATCCATCTCACAATCCAGGACTGCTGGCTCCCAACTGCATGCCTGCCTGCTTCCTGATTGCCCCTAATTGCTTCTGCCTGCCAGCCTGATCACCCCCTAACCACTCCCCTGCCAGCCTGGCTGATGCCAAACTGCTCCTCTGCTAGCCTGGTTGTCCCTAACTGCCCTCCCCTGCAAACTTGGTCCCCCCAACCCCCAACTATCCTCTCCTATAGACTTGGCTTTCCCCAACTGTCCTCCTGTGCAGGCATGGTCCACCCCCCCACCCCAACTGCTAAACCCTGCATGCATGGCTCCCCCCCAGCTGCCTTCCTCTGCCAGCCCAGTCACCCCTAACTGCCCTCCCCTACAGGCCTGATCACCCCAACCTCCCTTCCTTTAAGGCTTGATCCCTCTCAACTTTCCTCCCCTGTTGGCCTCATTGCCCACAACATCTCTCCCCTGCTGTCCATCTTGTGGCAACCATCTTGTATCCACATGGGGGCACCCATCTTTGACCACATGAGGGCAGCCATCTTGTTTGTTGGAGTGATGGTCAATTTGCATAATATCTCTTTATTAGATAGGATTACTTATTGTATTATTTTCCATACAAACTGTAAACTTACTTTTCCCCTATATATTCCACCCAACCCTGACCCCAACCTGAGCTCTATAGTAATCACAAATCAATTAGGTGAATTTTCTTATCAGCACAAGATAGAGTATCTAAATCAGGTCTTTAATGGTCCTTTTGATATGTTAGCAATTTTTGTTTATGGAAAAGTTAAAATTACCACACATGTCATTATTCCAAATTATTCTATGAGAAAAATCAAATCTATCTTACCTAAAGGAGTAATTGACAATTTCAGCAAAATTGCCAGACCCATAAAAATACATTTTCTTGAAACAATATATTATGTGGGAATTTTGCTATGACAATCTACATAACATCTTACTTTTACATTGTGTTTCATTCATATTTAATTTTTAAATTTATCTTTTACATTGAAATAAGTGAAAGGTGTATTAGAATTCAAATACTCTTTTTACTAACTAAGTGTAAATACCTAACTCCAAGCACTAGACGACAATGTAGTATTTCTTAAAAAAAAAAAAAAATGCTTCTCCAAATACTTAAATGTTTTGTTTTTGTTTTTGTTTGTTGTTGTTGTTTTTAGTAATCAACAGTTCCAAAGTAAATGCATTGATTATAAACTAGAAAGTCATCTATTTAATAAAGAGGTAATATGCAAATTGACCCTCATGCCCTCACATAAGATAGCTGTCCCTATGTGTTTAAAGATGGCTAACCCATGTGATCAAAGATGGCCACCACAAGATAGCTGACATGGGAGGGTAATTGTGAGTGATCAGGCCAGCAGAGGTGGGCAGTTAGGGGTGACCAGTCTAGCAGGGGAGGCAGCTAGGGCCAATCAGGCTGGCAGCAGAGGGCAGTTAGGGGGGACCAGGCCTGAAGGGGAGGGCAGTTGGAAACAACCAGAATGGCATAGGAGCGCAGTTAGGGGCTACCAGGCCAGCAGGAAAGGGCAGTTGGGGGTGACTGGACCTATAGGGGAGGAAAGTTGTGGCAATCGGACCAGCAAGGGAGCAGTTAGGCATCGATCAGGCTGGCAGGGGAGTAGTTAGGGGGTGATCAGGCTGGCAGGCAGGCAAGTGGTTGGAAGCCAGCAGTTCCAGATTGTGAGAGGGATGTCCCACAGGGTTCTGGCCTAAACCAGCAGTGGAATATCCCCCGAAAGGTCCAAGATTGGAGAGGGTGCAGGATGGGCTGAGGGACACTCCTCCCCCCCACCCCAACCCCCAGAGGGTGCAGTGGGCCTCTAGTCTTCCTATAATTGACTTAAACTTTCATACTGAAAAGTAATCAAAAGAATAACACAATTTCAGAACTAATTAATTTTAAGAAGTGGATGAAAGAAAAAATATGGTAAGTGTCAACGTAATAGTCTCAGTTTGTAGAATTTGCTTGTTAAATGAAAATAACCAGTCATACAGGGTAGGCACAAAATGCCTGGCTTTTCAGAAATGAGGAAATCCTGATTAATGCAGGCCCAGATTTCCAGCATGCACTGGCTGGCTGGTAAGCATCATGAGCTTGCATCTAGGAGATGAGTTGGCTCAACTGTGCATTTGGCATAACTTGTAGAGCAAATGAAAGATCTCATGCTATGCCATCATGATGTGGTAATAATGTCTTATCCTTCACTTGATGCTGCTCTAGTGCAAGACAATCTACTTCAAAACTGAGTTCCTAACCCAGCTTGCATGGCTCAGTGGTTTAAAATCATCCTATAAGACAGGAGGTCACGGTTTGATTCCTGGGTTGTGGGCTGGATCACCAGGAAGAGGCATGCAGGAAGCAGCTGATCAATGATTTTCTCTTTTCATTTTAGTTTCTATCTCTATCTCCTTCTCCCTTCCTCTCTGAAATCAATAAGAATATATTTTAAAAACAACAAAAACAACAATCGAGTACCTATTGACTTTATCTTCAAAATCATTCTTCACTAAATCAGGAAAAGTATGAAGAGATATATTTTAATAATATATATTTCAATAAGTCCATGTGTTGTTTGGACTTAATAGAATGTTTCTTCCAGGAGCTCAAGATGTTGCAATTCATTCCACCTACATAGCTCTAACAGAGCCTAGCAGCATAAACCTATCATGTATACCAACCATGTCAAACTCGCAGCCTGAAGGCCACATGACTCCTTCATTTGGCTCGTGTTAGCCCTTGATATGCTTGATG